ATGTAGTGTAACTCGAACATTCCAGCTTTTCACGGGACATTTCAGCTTCTCACGCATGCTAAGTGACTGCCCTCACCCCCACCCCCCTGAATTGGCTACACTCCCCCTGGCTTGCGAATTTCCTGTTGCCGCAACGCCCCGCGCGGCGGCTGCCCCCCCCCTCCGAGCCACATTGCGCCCTTTATGGGGTCTATTCCAGTTAGGGGGGCATCATGATGCAGTTTCTCGGCGAGCTAATGTAAACTCGAACATTCCAGCTTCTCACGCATGTCAAGTGACTGCCCTCACCCCCACCCCCCTAGGCTGGCTACACTCCCCCTGGCTCAGAGTTACCGTAGCTTTTTGGGAGTCACCGCACCATGATGCCCCCCTAACTGGAATAGACCCCTTTTGATTAATACTTTCCAGTTGTTCCGCGGGCGAGCGACGTCGTGAACCCGTCGCACAACTCCGGGTGGATGTGGCCATACCGGGTGTGTTGGTCGTAAGCAATTTTGTTTATTCATATGAAGTGAGTGCAAAAAACATCGAAAAAATACAAGAAATACACCAAAACCAAGATTATCGACCGGAGCGCCCCATCTGCGCCCAGCGCACGCGTCATGCGCCAGAGCGCGTGTTGACGCTCTTCACACTGTCGGTGCGGTCGGCGCCGTCGGCACCGTCGGCACCGACCGCACCGATGCGAACTATGAAAGCAGCCTTAATCCATGGGTCAGGATGCCGTGCCGGAATCCCGCTGCGAACCATCGAAATCTTACCTCCTCGCTGAAAAGATCCCATTCACACACCACTCATTTTCACTGGTCCTTTGGAGCCAGTGTCGTAGGATTGATTAACAGGCTGGATTTGCACTTTCGGCGAAAATTGGAATTGACAAAAAACAAGCTGTTAACTGGCGAGGATAGGTCTCTCAAATTCTGTCGATGCAGGATCCCGAATTTTTCATGCGAGTTTTTTGCCACTTAAAAGGCAATATCTCTCTAATTTTGTAGGACCTTGAAAAAACGAAGACAGTTTTGGAAAGCGGAAGGTTTGCGCTTTCTAACAGTATGTTTAGCTTCCTTCTACATTCTTTAGTTGAGGAGATATATTGCGTCGAGGATCTATCGAGGATGATTCTCGGCCGCTCAAAAAGCCGCTCCCTTCTTCACCATTGCAAGTGTAAATTCATTGCTCGAAATGTTCTAAATACACTTCTAACATAAGGCCCCCCAAACAACAAAAAGTGCAGTCGTCACCATCCAATTTTGTCTGGGTATAGGCCATGCACTCGAAGTTGCAGAATCGATTGGAATTGTTATATGATCATGACCAGTGAGACAGAAACTGCATTGTAGCAAACACATTTCGTAGCTCCTATAACGTAAAGAACAACTTCGTTGCCCAGGGCTTTTCCTTCACGATTGTCGTTTTGCGACAGGGTCCCTAACAACAGTGTCATTCTCAAGGAAGGTATTGAGGGGGAGGGAGCGAGCGGTATATAGAGAAGGTGCCTTTGCAGCGCGTGTGCACATGTGGCCCCGTTCATTGCGTGGAGCTTTTCATTCTTTGTATACAGGGTGGCCAAAAAAAAGAGACACTTCACTCAACATTCAAAACGGAATTATTTACGCGTCGCGAAACCAAACCAAATGACCCCAACTGAATATTGAAGAGCACGTTATAATCTATCAACAAGCTACACAACAGCCTTCTACACCGACGACATCAGAAGATTTTCCCACGGAAGCATTGTGCGCGGTACGATCTCAACGAGGTCGTTGAGATACCATAGACGATTACGACGTCTCTGAAACGCAGGTCAAAAGCGGTTTTGCACATTCACAGCTAATGTCTCTGGAAGCTATTCAACAATTAATTCACTGAGGAAATTGTGTAGCAGCTTCAGGTCGGAGCGATTTCGGTAAGCCTCGTTGAGCTCGACGGTGACGGCAGATGACGTCATATTCTGGAGACGGCAGGGGCAGTGAAGGAGTGCTTGCTTCTGTTTACGGAGGAACAACTAAGGAATATAACGCCATAAAACTTTCATTAACATCGGCTCCCTGTGTGACGAAAAGTTCGATGATGTGCGCCATGGGCTGAGTGTCTCTTTTTTTGGCCACCCCTGTATACATTCGAACACTTCCTTCTCGGAGGTAGAGAGACGGAGCGACTGAACCTGCAAAGATATTTTATATCATGTTTTCTCATATCCTTGTTTTCTGCTGCGCTACACCCTCTCCCTCCTATCTGCACCACGATGCCACTGACGTTACTGACCCCCATGTACGACCCCCATGACCCACCTTGACAAATACGACCCCCTGTCGAGGATTTCCTCGACCGATATTCACCCTGCTCTGCGATTCCAACGCAATAGCATTCACAACTCACTGCTGAATTATTCAGCGACCTTTCCATGCAAGTTTTGCCTTTGCATCCGCCACCTCATTTTCTCCCTCCGTTAGCATTACACGTATTGGTGTAGCAAATACAAGAATATATCGCGCTGGTCCCGCAACCTCTAGGCAAAAGTGAAATAAGCACTTTCAAAATATTGAAATATTCATATCATGCTGTCCTCAGAACCGTGACGTAATTTTGTGCCAGACCACAAACCTTTTCGACATAACTAAAAAATTTGAATTTTATTTTCATATAAACTAAAAAAACTGCTATGACAATATTCATGACTTCCTAACTTCTCAATTTATTGCCGAGAAGATTCCAAATTTCGTCTAGTGTTATTTATGAGCTTAGAAGTAAGAAACAAAAGGAAGGAAATGTTTTTCTCATAAAAATTCAGGGCACGAAATAAGCATCCTGTTATTTAATTAAAACCTTGGTCGACCGTGTGGCCCGCCGGTGGGCCACACTTTCGCTCGGTGGCGGCTCGTTTTTCGTGGTTTATTTCAGCATTTTTCATGTTTCAAAAGCACACATATACATTATCGAATCCGCGAAATAATGCGCTAATTACTACAAATAGAATTTTTGTAGAGTTAATAATTACTGATGAAAAAATTTGAAAAGAAGTGAAGTGACGCATGCATAACGGCGGTCGTCAAAGGGTTAAAGTGATTGATGGGCACTCAATGAACAACGCCGTGGCATTGAAGGGTATTTCGATCCTCCCAATCGGGGTTAACCCAGCCTTGATAAAGTTGGCTACACGCGACGATCGTTGGGGTGTTGCCTTGCCCGTCACCTAATGTCAGCATGGAAGAGGAATTTATGAAAAATATTTGTTCGCTTAGGCACACTAAATGTGCATTAAAACGGGGCTGCCGGTGTCACTAACTTAGGGGAAGGATAAAGGGTCGAAGTGGCCATATGAAATGAGACAAGTATCATGGTATGTGGTTTCGGACGCTGATCTCGAATCTTCTTCCCAAATCTGCCAAACGATTCGCTGGAACGGAGTTAACGGAGGTTTTTTGTTCCCTCACACAGTTTAACACAGTGAGGAATCAGCCCCAGCAGCAGCGGGTTGTGAACGAAGGCAGTGTTATTTCTTTTTGTCGGCTTGTTGTGCCTGGTTCGGATCCGCCGCGTGTTTTCCTTTTGCATTTTTGTGACTGACTATTTGGCAGTAGTGGAAACATGATTCCTTCATCATTGGTCGGCCCTACTTGCTTTTGGATGAGTCGAGGTCGATAACTTCGAAATTTTTCCAACTTAACTTGCATGCCACACAAAGTGAGGCGCCAGTATACGGAGCGCGCGCCTTAAGCCGTTCCAGGGTTGACCTATTTTGGACGACGGCGACCCTTTAAATTTGAAAATAATAAATGTGGGTGTTGAAATCATGCGAACAGAAAACCAGACACTGCTTTACACTCTTCAGAAACCAAAAAAAACTTATATCGTCTCAAGGCTATATAGGCTTCGATGAATAGGCTGATGGATGAATGGATAGATAACCCACCCACCTTATTTCGAAATTCGGTCGAAATTTCAAATTTGGCTACAAACTTGTCCCTAGGGGTATTTAAACCTAATCCGAGAACACGAATATCACACTTGTTTGCTGCAAAAACGTCTGCCAAGAGTTCTGTGGGCTCCATGTGCAGTCTTTAGTAAGTACCGCCGAAACTGATTAGAAACTCCTCGCAAAGTCTTTGCACACGGGTAACTACAGGCAAGCATTGATCGAGTAAGGTAGTTGGGAGCCTTTTTCAATCATTTTGCAGCGAAGGCAAAAAAGAGAACCCCAGGGAATCGATCCTACGACGTCTCGCACGTGAACCCGGACTACTACCGCTGCACTACTTTCCTTCATAACTCCATTCGGAAAATCGTTTGGCAGATTTGGAAAGCAGATTCGAGATCAGCGTCCAAAAACGCATCCACCGGTGTAGGTCTCTTTACATATGGCCACTTCGACCACGCGGAGGTATTCTAGAATGCAACTAACCATCCGTTCCTTGGTAAGAGTCCAACTGAATTTTCAGTCTTGGCTAGTCTTGGTTTTTTTTCATCTGGGTGCACAGTCTGCAATTTGTGAGCATTTCTTTTCTACTCTTTTGAAAATGCTTAGATACTACTGATCTTGCACGTTAGTATGGCTCATCACGGTGAACGCTCCGTCACCGACAGCATTTCACCTTCTCTCCCTCGTTGATGGCATGGGCTGCGGTTAGATTTCAGATTTCATTTTTTCATTCACGCGCCCAAAAAAGCCAACACGCGCGGTGTCGCCAACATTTTGAAGTGAAGTAATCTAAAGACTCCTCCTCATCGCGGATTAAATGATAATAAAGGATTATAACAACTGGAATCAATATCCTTGCCGCTCCTATGGTGTAGTATAACGAGCAAGCGACAATGGATAGGCCCTATCGGGTAAATTAAACGTGTGAACATCGCAAGTGACGATGCATGGTGAAGTCCCTATGCGAACAAGCCCTCGGATTCACGTTCTGTGGTCGCGCTTCAGTTCGTAACTACAACTGTGTGATAATGAACCTGGTAGAAGTCCGTGAGCAGAGGCTGCACCAGAGAATCCTGCCCATTCATGTGTAGTCCATTGGAATCCGAGCTCCTCTCTAGAGCAAATAATATTTAAAACGAAGTATAAGTCGCCGAATAACATGACACAGTAAGCAACTTGCAGAAACGGATTCAATTCCAAGAAAATGGCTCAAAATAAGATGTATTCCAAGCACGTCTGAGAAGTGCAGTTGAAGCTCCCTGAATTCGTAGCTGAGCCTCTAATCATAGGCTTACATTTCTCCATTTACTACGCCTATTTCTTCCCTTGACTATGACTCTTACTGGGAATAAGTACTTAAGGCATGTACTCGAAGAAAACATTGAATATCATGGAAAAGGCTGACGGGTTGATATTGAATCATGTCATGATTGGACACAACTATCACAATGACTCTCGAATGGAAATAGAGGTGCTGATCGGGCAGCATCTCTCTACATCTTTCAGAGGAGCAAAGTTTGTAATTGCAATTTTCAATTTTTAATTAATTTAATTGTAATTTTTTAATGAGAAGCCAGACCTCTACCCCTACGCTTCAATAACAATTACATCGCGGCCAGTTTCAATAAGCCGTAAGCGTTAGAAAGGTAATGTAAGACGCATAATTGAAAATGCACATTGCACACGCGGCTCACAGATCACACAAAAACAACTCTTGGCGTTTATCCTAAAACTAATAAAGGCTACCTAAAAAATGTCTCAAATTGTAATTGGTCGGTGTATAAGTTCGTAGAGTCACGAAATGCAAAGCATCACGCGCGGAACAACACAGCTATTCCGAGGTCCTTGTCAACTATTCTTACGATGCTTTGAGAGCAAGAGGTTTTTCCAGCACTATCAAAAGGCAAATCTTTACTAAAGAAAGGGTCGTGCCGTCCAACCTAAAATCATTTTGTTTACTGGGGAAACGCCTTCCAGCAGTCGATTCCTCTGTGGCCCTCTCATCCTGTACGGTGCACCGAGCTCCAGTTCTTTGGCAAACTGCCAGCCAGCCACAAATTCTGCTGCCTGGATATTCTATTTTTTGAGTATATATCTGAATGCAGTTGAGGATTGAAGAAAGCGAGGAAGATCATTGTGAGCAACAAAGGTCATTACCTAGTTAAGATGGGTATCGAATATAATTTAAATACAGAACTCATTACTACGCAGCACTTGGCATATCCCCCCCTAAATCCGACACGAAAGTGCCTCACACTTTGCAAGGTAGTGTAGGAACGCGCCAAATGTATAAGAAATTACGCAGCAAAAGCCTATCAAAACACACGTTGCGAATATCTTCTTGCCTTTGTTACCATGACAGCAAAAGACAGATGAGCTCTTTTACACCGTCTGCATGCAATGGATCGCAGCTGTTATAACTACTGCAAAAAAGTTTTCTTTGCTCGCATTTACGAATCTCAGCTATGGGTTAATGTAAAGCAGAATTTCCGGTGACACACCCAACCAGACTTCGTGATATCGACTGTAAGTGATGTCTTCTGGGCAGGGTCAACCGTCACGTTTGCATTTTTTTCGAACCCCCATTTCAGGAGGGTCTCGATGCGACCCCCACCACCACCATCAGTCTCGGCGGGCTCCCCCAATACCCCTGAAACCCCGACATGATCCTCCTACTCCATACCCTGACAACCACCCTCACCATCATGGCTGTTTCTATAGTAATTGATACCGAAACCAGTCGACATAGCGACACAGACGAACTCCGCCCACTTTTTCCTCGAATGGAGGGGAGGAGGAGGTAAATTGATATCATGAAGCGGCAAATCCACAAATCCACCAAGTCTGCCTAATTCCCAAGTTCTCACTATCTCAACTTTCACTCCACTTTCACCAAACTCTTCAAAAAACCTGTCCCAACACAACCTCCTTTAACGACTCCGTCAACCTCCGCTCTCACTATGACGACTTTCCAACCTCAATATGCGACACCAATTCCCGGAGTCACACTCTCTCATTGAACAGTGCGTACGGACGGTTGACTCTGCTTCTGGGTAAGCAACTAGAACAGTTCGAGGCATCTTTCTGCGACTCGGCTAGTAGCATATATGATCTCGAGATGTAATGATGATATTTTAGCAATCGGAACTAAAAGGTACAGTATCTAATGTGTACACTCGCCTTATATATCAGACGCCTACTTTCATGAGCAGACCTACACCACAACCTCGACTGAGATCACCACATTTCCTCAATGAACGGTAATCAACCATTGCAAACTGTTCTACAGAAGTGAGGCTCAAACTTGAATCGAGAAACGAAAAAACCATTTCGTGTGTTCCAACTGGGGTACAGAAGTAACCTCACCTGAATCAAGAACGAAAGCCATTCGGGAAGTAGAGCCGATCGTCGCACAACTACGACAATCCACGACACTCGCAAATCAGATATCTAAACGCCGCGATAATGTCTGCAAGGATACGGATCTTTAGTGAACTAGTTTCCTTGGGATTGTTTCTTCAAATCAAGCAAGAATTCACGAATAAATATCGACTTAAACTTGTGCGCGAAAACAGTATAAAGCCAGAGATGTTGAGCAAATTTACTTTTTCTCCAAAAACAACCAGAAATGGAATCATACTGATTGGTGCGACACAGGGATAATCAATGAGAGAATATTCAACGATTACTTCATAAATTATATAACTCTTTTCCAATGAACATCAATCTCAAAATAAGGTGCTTTACAGTAATCAAACTACAATTTGTATACAAGACACTCTCGGAGGCAGACAACTTCACTTAAATATACCACAGACGCACCACAGCGAATACATAATAGACAGTTCATGTTATAATTCGAGTAGTCTAAAATGCGCATAAAAATATAGCTGATGGTCCTATTTTTGAACTATTCGGATGACATAAAGCATAGGGACTGAAAGGCAACTTCTCGTGTATAACACAAACTCAAGGTGTACTTCTGTTTCACTGATAACAACTGACAAATGAGAGAAGCAGAGATGCTGGTCGTAGTCGCCTAGCCAACCCGTAGTGTAACAATGGAAAAAATGCACAGTCATCTTGTAAATTATTCATTACCTCAACGCCGTCAAGACATAAATGCGCTTTAGATTTCACTGTGAAAAACAGGGAAGATTACAAGTAATAAAAGTCCTACGCGATCACACAAGTGTACTAGGGACCGGTAATCCAAGCAACTCAGACTTCCTGCGGAGAATTTCGTTCATCTCGACCTCCAGCTAAAATATGATCCATCAGATAAGTCAAAAAGCGAATTTAGCATCAACTGAGCAATAGAGGTGAGACGGCTCCCCACATATAGACTTCCTACTTTCTTGCCTTACAGCAGCTCTCACAGAAATTTAAAAAAAAGTATCATTTCTGAGTCTGATGCTGACACTACTACATAAACA